GATTACAGTGCGCTTTGTCCTAATAGACCCAATAGGAAACACTTGGAAACAATTATTTACGTGCATTTGCCCATTTACACCAAAGTGTCATTATCTGCTCACGAAAACATGCAATTAAATGTACGTGCGTAAACACGAGCAAAAGCATGCACAAAAATAAGCAAAACCGAGAAGTCAAAACGCGCATAGCTACACGCGAAAACGCTGCCACCTAGGTGTGAACAGGCCTTACTGTATAATCATCAAATAATTGACCATTCCAAGCAACATAACCAAGCTAAGATAAACTAACATCAAATAAAATAACAATAAAGAACATTAGAAATAATGTAACAAAAACAGCCCAGCATTGAAGCTCTGTAGAAGCACAGGGGAAAGCATTTGTAAGAACTAGAAAACAAGAGCACAAAAGCTCACTGGCATAGTGCAGAAGTTAAAAAAAGGTTTCATGTGAAATTGTGAATAAAATTAATGCACTCACAAAAGTATTTGTGAGTAGAAGCCAAAATGCAAATAAAGGAAAGGTAGTGGGGGAAATGCTTAGGTATCCTCAGGACGGAGATGTTGTATCAGAAGCTGAGAGCGCTGTGTCCAGAGAGCAAAATACTTTTAGTAAAAGTACTTTTCAACGACTACACTATATCAGTGCGCTTCTGTGCTCTTGTTTTCTCTTTCTCATTTCTAACACAAATCCAAAATCTAAAAGGTTTATTTATCATTTTAGAATAGTAGGCAATCCAAATGATTCCTTTTTGACTCTAGGTCTCCTGCGCACCCAGAGCCAAAGGTTTACAGTACACGTACAGACTAGTATTATATAGCCATGTGTTCTAAAAGGCATATAGCTGTTTTAAGCATGTTGCCCATCGTCTGTGTTTGGAAATCATAGATTCTATACAAGACTAGAAAGGCTTGGGACCCAATAAGAATGTATAACCAGCTTATATCCAAGTTCAGTGAGCGTTCTGCAGGCAAACATCACTGAATTCCTCAAATTAAGTTGGCAAGGGGTACAGTAACAACAATTCAGAGATGGAAACCCTAGAACCCACCGCAGTCCTCTCTAGGGTTCTGTTACAAATCACAGTACTTACACTGTGAGTTTATTGTTTTACATATAATCCTGCAGCATCTTTTCAGCTTATCTGAAAGAATTTTAAAAATGAATTTATGTTTTAACTGGGGATGTCCCGATACCACTTTTTCAAGACCAAGTACAAGTACTTCCCCTCATATACTTGCCGATACCAATTACCGATACTTTTTCTTAAAGGGACAGGTGACTTTAAATGATCCATAGTACAACTACATGTTATGTACTATGGATCATGATTTAACCTATTCATGTTAGCAGGGGGGAATTGTAAATTTATTGTTGGAGTGTAGTGGAGGTGTGTGCTGTATATATGTACTACATATACATTACACACGTCCAGTACACTATAGCAATAGATTTACAGCCAGCTCTGTCCCAGCTTCCTTCACTCACAGTTTCACTCCGATCCCTGTTGCCTCACGAGGTGCCTCTTGTAGTTGGCGCTGGGCTGGAACGCTGCATCGCGTCTCGGTGCTCAGCTTGTGGGAGGCGCTCGCAATTATGCCCTGCTAACATGAATAGGTTAAATCATAATCCATAGTACATACACAGCACACATGTCCTGTACACTGCAGTAATAGAGTTACAATTATCCCCTGCTAACATGAATAGGTTAAATCATGATCCATAGTACATAATATGTACATAATATGTACATAACATGTAGTTGTACTATGGATCATTTAACCTATTCATGATAGCATTGGATAATTGTAAATCTATTGTTGCAGTGCATTCTATATGTAGTACATAGTACATGTACATATAGAGTGCACTGCAACAATAGATTTACAATTATCCTCTGCTAACATGAATGGGTTAAATGACCCATAGTACAGGGCTACATATGGATCATTTAATCCATTCATGTTAGCAGAGGAGAATTGTAAATCTATGGTCTCCAGTGTATTAGCAGTGTGTACTCTATATGTGCTACATATAGAGTACACACTGCTAATACACTGGAGACCAAAGATTTACATTTATCCCCTGCTTAATAGTGCCCCCCCTTGCACTCACTCACTGTGCGGGAGAGCAGCGACGAGTCAGCGCTGGTCCGATGGGAGGAGCTCCAGGTGGGGTCCTAACTTAGCTGGCCCAGAGGTGCCGGCCAGCTAAATTAAGATCTCACCTGTAGCTCCTCCCACCGGACCAGTGATGACTCGCCGCTGCTCTCCGGCACTGAAGGACGGCACTGAGCTGAAGAGGAGCGTCACGTCACTGCTGCCCCGAGTGGGGTCCTCTGGGCAATTGCCAGCCACATAAATTAGGACCCCACCTGGAGCGCCACCCACCAGAGCAGCAGTGACGCGACGCTCGGCGAGGTAAGGAAAAAAAAAACCATAGAGCAAGCTTCGGCGCTATGCATCGGATCATTTTGACGAGTACAAGTACTTGTCAAAATGCCCTGTATCGGGACATCCCTAGTTTTAACTTCTTATTCTGGGCAGTCTGTCTGTTCTTTCACCCCATTCCACCAGGACTAACATTCAGATATTTAGGTTACGCTTCCAGTGCTACTTGGTATCCTTGTTCAAAATTAGATCTGATACTACATGAACGCTTTTTTAATCTGTCATGCTGTCATCTAAATGGATTCCCCTCCATCAGAGCGGTTATGGTAAATATTGAGTGATGCCTCACTCAGGAGTAGCCTGCTTTATGTGCATCAGGTTGATATCAACAGATGTCAGACTTAAAGTGGACCTTTACCCCCTTTGTCTAAAAATCACATAAGCATGCAGCTCTGCATGCTGATATGAAATCATCTTACATTCATTAGTTAAACAAACATATATTTTTTTTACTTACAATTATTGTTTTTTCACTTCCTGGTCCACTTTGGTACAAATAATGTAATGTGCCCAAGCGTTGCATCCTGGGAAGGTTACATCAGCAGAGCAATGCTGAGAAATCTCATCTGTAATCTTAGGAGATCTCATGGAAAGGCATTTTCCTCCCCTGAGAGGATGTTCACATGTGGTCACATGTCATAGTAACATGTGCCAGAGTCCCAGGAAGTAAAGGGATATATATTAAACTGCCCTTAGTAAAAATGGCCACTATGAGACGACTGGGGAAGAAAAGTAAAATTAGGTATGGAAAGATTAAAAAGCCGGCAATTATCTAGAAGTATTTGTTTTATCTTGCCATTACTTGTATGTATTGCCATTACTAAACATTTGTACAGGTGTATTAGCTTCATAAGTATCTGATCAACTTTGAGCTAGTAATGAAACAGACAACTGGCAGGGCTTATAGTGTGTCAAACCCACCTCTAGACAGTCAAACCAGTGGAAGGGCTCTCACTTCTAATTACAATGGGGGGAATTTATAAGAACTGGAGCAGACAAAATCTGGAGCAGCTGTAAATGGCAACCAAAGAGTTTCTCTCTTCAGTCTGTTCAGTTAGCATTTGAAATTGAAAAAGAGAAGCTGATTGGTTGCCATGCACAGCTACTCCAGATTTTGTCTACTCCAGTTTTGATAATTTCCCTTCAATATCTGTATAACAAATGTAAAATCACTGCTCATATATTGTGGAAACAAACATGATATAATCAACAAAACAAAGTCAGATCCCTGTAGAAGATGGCTAACTGGAACACCTAACAATAAATGGTTGAAAATTCCAACCTAAAACAAATGGAGTTTAACTCTTTGTATTCTTTTATAGGTTTAGGGACAATGACCTCAACTCCTCATAAACTCGTGTCAACACATTAGCTTACTTTCTATGCATGCTTGTTAAACTCTAAACAATCTGAAACACCAAGTCATTCTGTGGGAGTCATAAAATGGCCAAATTAAATCCAGCATGCCAAGGTTATGCAGCAGTCAGTACATGTCTACAATGCACAGCAGAATATGGCTGTCAGTCATCTTATCTGTATCTTATCCTAAAAATACTGGTTTGATAAACATTTGCGCAAATCCTGTTGGCATATAAAGTGGCCATAGGTTCGCCACCGCTGCTCTATAGGGTTCCCCTTTGCTCCTTCCCTGACAGCTACATATAAGGTTATGTAGGGAGGTGAGAGGAGCTTGGCCAACACAGGCAGTAATTAGACCCTCCCAGATGAGTAGAAGGTTATGACGTGCACAGAAGGAGGGGGCTGTGCTAGGGAAATGACTCTCCTGGAGTACTCCAATTTCCTAACATGTTTTCCAATGTTTTTGCAAGTTCAAAGGCATATTGCAAGTGAACAGAAAATCATTTAATGGTACATGGTATTTGTAAAGCATATCTAAACCCAAAAGCAAACATTTTATTTACTACAGCCTGCCAGTTCCTAGATGTGGTGGCTGCATTTGTTTTCATTTCTCAGACTAAGTACAGAAAATACATGTTGAATTTGCCAGAAAGGCAATGTCCTTGTCACTTTATACAAAAAAAATAAAAAAATAAAGCACAACCTTATCTAAATTGTGCAAACCATCCTTTCTCAACCAGTGTGTCAAATTGTCTTTGTTTAGTTTTTGATACAGTGTAGAAGGGGAAGCACCTCTTACACATTTTTACTGTTATCCAACCTTCTATTGGCAAGGCTCCCCTGACACCATTGCAACCAGGACAAATGAGGGGAAAGCGCCAAAAGAAAAAAGAAAGCAATACAAAGTTTTTTTAGTATAGTAGGCAAAGGTTAGAACCCCTGTGAGAAGAAATCCCCCAGCAAGTTCTAACTTTCTCCACACTATCTATAACTTACAAAAAGTCTGGAGTTACCCTTTTAATATTAAAATGACAGAATCTCGTTGTAAATCTGCTTTGTGGTTGCATGTTGATGCCACTGACATATATAGCATATTGATGTTACCACATTTACTGAAGGCCATTTTGTCTTTTACACCAAAGCCCAAACATAATAGACAATAAATTGTTAAAAAATGTTAAAGCTCTTACATTAATGTTTTATGTATTCGTTCAATGGCATCTTCCAGGTCTTCTTTCTGGTCAGGTACAAAGCGGTATTCTGACACATATCCCGCAGTGTTCTTAAATGGATCGTAGTCACCGACTTCCGCTGGAACAGACAGACGATACAATTATGTTTTGAACATTATTCAGTGTTATCATTTCCAGAAAAATACACGCGCAGCCTGGAGGCCTCTTCAAAGAGCATGTTGCAGAACTGATAATAGGAAATTGGGATGTCTCCATTAGCACCCTTTTTCACATAAAATCACCTCCGAACAGAACACAGAACTGTACAAACAATGCAGCTGTCATTACAAGCGGGTGAACAGTGTCTATAAAGCAAAGCCAAAAGAGGCGACGGAACCATCATTTGGTAAATTGAGTTTACTTTAATAACTGTTGTGCGTGAAAATGAACATATACTGTCATTTTGTCTGTAAGGTAAAGAAGTCATTTTCATCTGCTACAAATAAAACCAAAGAAAGTGACATGATGATACACCAATTACCTAGATAGTAAATCGAAGATAAAACTAATTTGATATGAAAATAGTGCATTTTCAAATGCTGTCTGTAAGAGTTTTAAAACTGAAAATTAATTCACCGTTTTTAAACATGAGTCTGAAAGAGTCACGGCAGACATTGGTATTAATTTACTAAAGGAGTAGAGGCTGCTCACTTAGAAAAGTGAACGATCTCTTTGCAAAATGAATGTAGGTAAAAAAAGAGTTAACCTTTGTTCACTTTTCATATTGAAATGTTTTAGCAAAATTCCTGTTTTTTTTTTTATTTCCCTCATACATGAGTGAACATTCAGAGTAAACACAGATACACCTTTTTACCCACATCCTCCATTCCTTTAGTAAATCAAAGTATTTTTTGTCAGACATGAAGCAATAGCAATTGTAAAGAAACACTGCAACCACCACAGCTTTGTGCATGCCACTGCAATAATAGGGAGAACAATAGGCACAGAATAAAAAAACATTGCAACCTGATGGACATCTGCCATGGTGGAAGTGTGCCAAGGTTGTTCCAAAGGCAGCCAGATTTTCATACAAGGATTCAATACATCAGAAGATGCCAACATGTCAGTATAAAAACATGGAAAAACTATGCTGGTTTTGAGTCTATTTTAAGTTGACTTTAAGGGCCCATTCAGGGCCTGCTTCCGTGTGATTAACGCATTGCACCAAAGTGAATGTGCCTTTACTTGATAGGTTTTTACATTTATATTTTTTGTCTGTATATTAACTACACTATATTGCTAAAAGTATTGGGACGCTTGCCTCTACACGCACATGAACTTTAATGGCATCCCAGTCTTAGTCCGCAGGGTCCAATATTGAGTTGGCCCACCTTTGCAGCTATAACAGCTTCAACTTTTCTGGGAAGGCGTCCACAAGGTTTAGGAGTGTGTCTATGGGAATGTTTGATCATTCTTCCAGAAGCGCATTTGTGAGGTCAGGTACTGATGTTGGACGAGAAGGCCTGGCTCGCAGTCTCCGCTCTAATTGATGCCAAAGGTATTCTATCGGGTTAAGGTCAGGACTCTGTGCAGGCCAGTCAAGTTCCTCCACCCCAAACTCGCTCATCCATGTCTTTATGGACCTTGCTTTGTGTACTGGTCTGCAGTCATGTTGGTACAGGAATGGGCCATCCCTAAACTGTTTCCACAAATTTGGGAGCATGAAATTGTCCAAAATGTCTTGGTATGCTGATGCCTTAAGTGTTCCCTTCACTAGAACTAAGGGGCCAAGCCCAACCCCTGAAAAACAACCCCACACCAAAATTCCCCCTCCACCAAACTTTACACTTGGCACAATGCAGTCAGGTAAGTACCATTTTCCTGGCAACCGCCCAGACATGTCCATCGGATTGCCAGACAGAGAAGCGTGATTCGTCACTCCAGAGAACACATCTCCACGTCTCTAGAGTCCAGTGGCGGCGTGCTTTACACCACTGCATCCCACGCTTTGCATTGCACTTGGTAAAGTAAGGCTTGGATGCAGCTGCGCGGCCATGGAAACCCATTCCATGAAGCTCTCTACGCACTGTTGTTGTGCCAATCTGAAGGCCACATGAGGTTTGGAGGTCTGTAGCTATTGACTCCCGCACTGTGCACTTCAGCATGTGCTGACCTCCCCAGTCATTTTACATGGCCTACCACTTCGTGGCTGAGTTTTTGTTGTTCCCAGTTGCTTCCACTTTGTTATAATACCACTAACAGTTGACCGTGGAATATTTAGTAGCAAGGAAATGTCACGGATGGACTTATTGCACAGGTGGCAACCTATTACGGTACCACGCTTGAATCCACTGTGCTCCTGAGAGCAACCCATTCTTTCACAAATGTTTGTAGAAGCGTCTGCATGCCTAGGTGCTTGATTTTATACACCTGTGGTCATGGAGGTGATTGGAGCACCTGAATCCAATGATTTGGAGGGGTGTCCCAATACTTTTGGCAATATAGTGTATGTATATAACATCTTTACAAAAACAACTGAATACAGAGTGAAAAAAACTCAAAACGAATAGCTATTGCACCCGCCCTCTGCTGATGTCAATCACTAGAGGGGACCTGATGGAGAACTTCAGGTCCCCTCTGCTGATTGACAGCATAAGTGGGCGAGTGCAATAGCTAGTTTGCTATTGGCTATTGCAAATTGAAATAGCCAATAGGAATCTAGCTATGCATTCCTATGGTGATTTTTTTAAAATTCTTTTAATCTGACTGCCGCTCCGATGTCAGAAGAAAAAAAAAAGAAAACAGATAAGGGAAAGGTTTACTATGCTCGATCGAGCATAGTAAACCTTTCTGGGAGAAAGTGCTTCTCTCCCGGGCGGCTGGGAGCCGCTATCTAATAGCGTGGGACTCCCGGAGCGCCCAGGAGAGTCGGGCTGTCTGGAGATCAGTGTCCCTGGTTACCTGGTAAACAGGGGCGCTGATCTGTCTGTGCAAGTGGCCGGAGCCAGCCATGAGATGACGGCTGGCTCCGCCTGTTCGGCCAGCTTCGGCTTTCACCTCGGCTCAGTCTAGCCGAAGAATATGCGTTCGGCTCGACTGAGACGCTCGGCCGACTTCGGGAGCTGTACGGACTATAGTGAATAGCCCGTACAGCAGCCCTTCGGTTCTATTGAACCGAAGGGGTCCTGGGGCCGAAGCTAGCCGAAGGACCAGCCGAAACTACGGCTAGATCCTTCAGCAGCTTAGTGAATAGACCCCAATATTTCATTTGAGAATGACAAATGGAGTCTGGTTTAAACTTCAGTCATCAAGAGGGAGTTTTTCTGCCAGGCTTTCACTATAGTTTGTTTTATAGATGGCAAAACATGTCTCATGAGTTTGAATTGGTATTTCATGGGTCCTTCTGGTATGAGATTGAGAAGTACTTCATTCAGTTTCATAGGCATAGTGGCGCCCAATGTTCAGAGTATCCATAGATTGAGTACTATCGGACAGGTCTACCATATATGCATGTATAATATTGGTGCCACTGTTGGCCTGACATCTAGTTCGCTTTAGACTATATGAACCTGCAGTTATAATAAAACAAATGAGATCACAAACAGACAGAACCCTTCTAGCGTATGGCAGAACTTCCAGATCGACATTCTAGGCCTGCATATTGGATGAGTTTCTTCTGTTTGCTTTCCGCAGCTTATCCAGCTTCCACAAACAACATATGTATCTATCATATGTGTGTATGTCTGTATGAATGCAGTAGGGGCATTCTATACATATATTATTCTATATCACTGAAAGGAGTTGATTAATTTTTTAACACTATATAAATGGCTAGAAGAAATAAATGGGGCTACAAATTCCATTGAAGCCTTATAAAATATTGTACAGTACTTTGATACTATAGATTCAACAAAAGGCAAAGCTATACCACTTTTTAAACTAAATGTATACATTTATTTGGACATGCAGCAATATATAATAACACAAAGCCCAGCCCTAACCCATAAAAAACAAATAAAAATACCCACAATCTCATAGGGAAGCTCCCCTTAATGAATATGATGTATGAGTATACAATATACCATGACATTTCCTCAGCAAAAATAAAAATAGCAAAAATGTTAAGGCATGCATAGTGTAAATTATGAAGTAATTATGAATGGACATTCCAAATGAAGTTAAAGAAAAACACTAGTTAGAAAGGATCCAGGTCCAATCACATCCACTATGTAATATTAGTGTCCAAACCATGAACCGTGATCTCACAAATGGTTAAATAGTATAAAAAATTCCACATATTACAACAAAAATGAAAAGTATCTCCAACAGTAGCTCAAGTGGCTGGAATATATCATTATCACTATCATACACATCCTATCCCAAAGAGAATAAGACATTCTAAAGTGAGGTTCAGTAAGTGCAGTAAATACATCTTAAAATCGAAAAGTAAATATTTAGTTGTTATTATGGGTTAGGGCTGTGCATTGTCTTTTTAAATTTGCAAATAAATCTACTGTATACATTTTGTACATAAAGTTGTGCCGCTTTGCCTTTTGTAGAATCCATAGTGTCAAAGAATAGTGCTTTGTTTTCTTAGCCAGGTTGTTTTGTTTGTGTAGCGAGATATTGTAAAGTAAGGGGTGTATTTCTAAAGCAGTGAATATGGCAGTCACCAAACATTCACTGCATGTGTATCTTCCTGGTGCACGAGTTTTAAATTACAGTGATTTATTCACCTACAGTGAAGGTTTGGTAAATGTTGCATTCACTGCTTTATAAATATGTAGCACTGCTTTATAAATATGCCCCTAAGTGTCCTTAGAGTGAAGATATAGGGCAAACCAACAGCCAGTCATCTTTGGCCAAAGCAATCAGGATGTCGCCCTTCTCAAAAATCAAAAGCATTTTTTAAGGATAAATGTAAGCACTCTTCAATAGCGTAATAAATGTTAGGAGGCTAGAGCTTACAATCCATGCTTATCATTACTTTCCTACCTTAATAAAAAATATATAAAAGGGATGGAAGTGCAGGTGCAGTTTTTAGCATTTCTTAAACTAGATTTGTGCTATCTTGTGGATTGACATTTTAGCATTTATTTGGTGGAGATGCACGGGAAGGTTGTTTGTGGAAGATAAAAACACAGCTTTAAAGCTCTATTTATTTGAAGAAAAAGCTTTACTATTGAAGAAGGTTAAGGCTGGAATTGTATTATTGTCGAGCGTGAGTGAAGAAAAACTTTCCATGTTTTAAATCTTCCTCTGAAGGAGCCTTCCTTTCACACTAAAGCACTCTGGCTTTTCTTTTTGGGGTGAAGGTACCTCAATGATAGTTTGAAGGGAATGATTCCAGATAAAATGGAAGTTGTTTATTTGTATTTGTTTCCTATTGTATTCTTCATTCTCTTTCAAAGATGGATTGTATTTCCCAGCTACTTTCTGCCCACATAAATCTGTCTATTTTTGTTATCTGATGCAGGAGAGGCCTTTCCTCATTGAAATTCTTCACGTTTGTGTCCCTTCAGCTACCTAGGCAGTTGTTATTGTGTGAAGAAAGAATATGACAGCATATTATAGACTTTCATTTGCAGAGGAAATGAACGTGGAACAGAATGGTATAACCATTTCTTATATTTTTTTTTATTTTAAATTGGTTGGGGCATTTAAACATTAAAATTTCCTTTTACTTGTCTACATTGTAAATTAACCATGATGGAATCAGGAGCAGATTCCTAGGCAGCGGCAAAAATGCTGGGGTCTCAATGTACCGGCCCGCGGACCAGTTGCGGCCCACAGCCAGCTCAGAAGTCAGGTACCCGGTCACGGACCGCATACCTGACTTGCGGGAGCAGCTACACGGTCTGCATCCGACAGAGACTGCGCCGACACTCGGATCCTTTCGGCCAGCGCTCTTTCAGTGAATGCTGGCCGAAAGGATTGTGCAGGATCGATTGGGAAGGTCTGCAGCAGATCTTCCCAATCGACCACCGATCACCGGGACCGACGTGCCGCCTTACAGCCTCCTCACTTCAACAACATAAGCAGGAGAGAGGGGCCAAGGGATCTAGATTGTATTTTAGGGGGGGTGGCACTGGTAGTTATGTTAAATGTGTGTGGGGCGACACTGACTGGGGGTTGTTTATATATATTACAACCCCAGTCAGTGCCCACCCCCCCCACAAGTCCTGCTGGAAAATGAAATCAGCATCCCCATAGAGCTCGTCTGTGGAAGGAAGCATGAAGTGCTCCAAAATCTCCTGGTAGACGGCTGCGTTGACCCTGGACCCCCTGGTGTGGGGGGTATTTTCTCATGTGTATGGGGGGAGGGAGGGGTATTATTTTATATGTACAGGGGTTGTTTTTTTTTTACGACGGATACAGTTACATTTTATTTGAAAGTATGAAATTTGGCAAGCGGACCCCATGAGAGAAGAAATTTGTCGAGTGCCCCCAGAGAAGGAAGAGGCGGGGGGCGAAGATGGCAGAGACACCGACGGAGTAGGTGGGAGGCGTCGCCGGAGCTCCAGTCGGGCGGCGAAGAGGACAAGGAGGCCGTGCCGGGCGTCGAGGAGGCCGTGTTCCACAGAGGTCAGGCCGTGCAAGGTAAGAGGACTGTGCTGGCAGAGCCCAGCATAGATTCTGCACAGCCCACCAAAGAGTCTCAGGTGTGCTGTGCAATACCTTTTGGTTGGCTCTGCAGGATCTGTAGGGGGCTTTGCAGGATCTGTGGTGGGCTTTGCAGAATCCATAGGGGGCTCCGCTGCCTACAAAGCCCACCACAAACTCTGCAGAGCCTTCCTGAGATCCTGCAGGATCTGTGGGGGGCTTTGCCGGGTCTCAGGGGGCTTTGCAGGATCTGTGGTGGGGTCTGCCGAATCCCAAC